TTCTCCTTAATAAACATACACAGATGGAACAAGAACAAATATTTTAGTAAATGTGTACCTTCAACTCACTGCTGTCAAAATGAAACTGAATCTCATTCACTGGGTTTCTGAGGCCGTAATTCTCAGGCAGGAGATTCCCAAGAAAGAAGCCACTGCTGGATTCAAATTACACAGAAGCACAGCCTTAGGTTAGCAGTGCAACCGCCCAGGGACTAGGTCCCCAGAGCTCTCCAAGTGTGCTACAACACTCAAGTTCCTGGATGGTTGCTTTCGAGAACACTTCTGATCAGTGATTTGTACTAACTACAAACATTGATTGAAATGTCATTCTGATAGAAGTATAGTCAGTACTACATGTTCTGGACAATGTGTGCCAATTAGGGAACTATTTCATCCAAACCATTCAGCTCTTTCCTTCCTTGTTCAAAAAGGAACACAGAAAAAAAAAATTGTGAACAACTATTTTTTATTTTAGATTTTCGTATTTTCACTATATATTTTTCCTTGTTGTTACTGGAATTATTCTTTCCACATAAATTAATATATTCTATCTTCTTCATATTAGGTAATCTTGCTTTGGGAGGGGGGGGGGTGCACAAAAACATGTCCTTAACATCACTTTCTAGGTCTGTGTAATTTAGTTTTAGCATGTGTTTTCAATTTCTGTTTGATTATTTTCCGTTACAAAACCTATTCTTTACTGTTGTTAGGTGTCACTGAATCAAGTACGACTCATTAGCAACCCTATGAACAGATCTGAACCCTGTTCTATCCTGTGTCATCCTCACAGTTCCTGACACACAAGAGCCCATTGCAGCAGTCACCTTGTCAGTCCACCTGGCTGAAGATCTTCCATCCATTCACATAACCTCCACCATTCCCATCATCATGTCCTTCTCCAAGGAATAGCCCCTCCTAGCAACATGCCCAAAGTACGTGAGGTGAAGCCTCATTATTCTTGTCTCCAAAGAGTACTCTGGCTGCACCCTCTATACGACATATCTGTTCATTCTCTTGGCCATCTACATGGGATATTCAGTGCTATTCTTCAACACCACAGCTCAAAGATGTCAATTATTTTTCTGTCATCCTTATTCATTATCCAGCTCTCAGATACAGAGTAAGCAAGACCATGGCCTTAATCGGACATACCTTAGTCCTCAAACTGACATCATTACTCCTCAATAATTTGGGGAGGTCTCTAACTGTAGATTTTGCCAATGCAATGCATCTCCTTATTTCTTGACTGCTGAAATTGTTCACTAGTTTATAATTTATTTTTATTTTCTCATTCACTCACTCATTTACACTTCCTTCCTTAATTTCATTAATTTATATAAGTTTACTAAATGCCAGAAACTTTACAGGGTGTTAAAGATTAAGTATAATAAAAAGGGATAGGCTTGTTGCTTATTTTTTTTTATTTCACCATCTAGTTAAGTTTGAAAGATACATAACTACCTTTAAACAGTAATGTGATTAAAGCTGTAATAGAGGCATTCATCTATAAAGTTCTACTGGGGCCAAATGGTACAACTTGTTTCACAGACAGGGTGAAATTTCTCTTTGTTGTTATTTAGGAAATCAACTAACTATTCAATTGCCAGATAGAAGACAATGTTTTATAAAGTAAATAAAATTGAATAAAGCCTTGACTAACACGAAAGGACTTTGGACATTTAAGAAAAAGCAAGTACTTTGGTAGGAAAGATAAATTACAGACTGTCTGGGAAAACATAGATTTAATGGACAAAGCTATCTACCATTTGTTTTGTCTGCCAAGTAAGAAGACATAGTCTAGTTTCATTTGTCTGGTAACAGATCTTAGCATCCTTGCCATGGAGCAAGGCTTTGCCAGGCCAGGCAGCACCGTCAGAAGTGATGGGTATCCTTCTAAAGCAGCGCCAAGAAGAAACCTCCCCTGCAGTTACACCGTCATTTGGAGAAAGAAAAATACTCTTCCTGTTGTGTGGTGAAGCAAGTGCTGCCTAGGATTAAGTTATCTGCTAACTGGGGCTGATTGTGTATATTTCTGAGAATGAGCCCTGCATGTAAAATGAAGAGCAGCTCATGGAAATGACATAAAGATAAAATCTTAGTTCCAGAGTAGTGGAATTTCTGTTCCTGTCTTTGTGGCTATGGTTCCTGGCTCTTTACTTCCACATGTGACTGTCAGCATCTTCTCTGCCACAGAAGCCATTTGGCCTTGTTGTTGTTGTTATGTGCTGTCGAGTCGTTTGCGACTCATAGCGACCCTATGTACAATAGCCCTAAACTCTGCTCTGTCCTGTGCCAATCGCACTGTCTCTGACACTCCCATCCCGATTATCCCAGGCACTGAATCAATCCGCCTCTTAGAGGGCCTTCCCCTCCTGCGCTGTCCCTCCACCCTCGCAAGCATGATGTGCTTCTCCAAGGACCGGTCTTTCCTCACAACATGTCCAAAGTATGTTAGATGGAGCCTCAGAATCCTGGCCTCCAAGGAGCCACCTGGTTTAACCCTTTCCAGGATGACTCTGTTTATTTTCCTAGCAGTCCATGGTATTCTCAATACTCTTCTCTAGCACCACAGCTTGAAGGCATAAATTCTCCTTCTATCCTCCTAAGTCATTGTCCAACTTTCTGATGCACAACAAGCGATTGTGAAGACCATGGCCTGTATCAGACGCACCTGTCTTCAGAGAGACACCATTGCTCTTCAGTACTTTGGAGAGGTCCCTAACCGCAGACTTTCCCATGGCAATGCGCCTTTTAATTTCCTGGCTACTAGTGCCGAGAGTGTTGACTGTGGAGCCAAGCAAACTAAAGCTGTGAACAATCTCAATCTCTTCACCATCCATCCTGATGCTGCCAATTGGTCCAGTGGTGAGAATCTTTGTCTTCTTGACATTGAGCCTCAATCCATATTGGAGACTGTAGTCCTAAGCGAGTTTAAATAGGAACCCTTACGATTGTCAATGAAAACAGTGGGACTGAAACATATGGCACTGTGACTATTATTTTACTTAATAAAGCAATGAGAGTTACAGAGAAACACCAAAACATTAAGTGTTTTGAGCTAGTGATGGATCAAAAGTGTACTGGAAGACACTTACAGGCAGGACTTCAAACTAGTTCATTCAAGGTTGAGCCCCTTCTGAGAATGTGTATTTCCACTTAACCTTAAAACAGTAATTTAATAAAAGCTTTATTCAGATATCCTGAATCTAATTTGTATTTTAGCATACTCTAACAAGATCGGTAAGAATCAGGTCTGGGGAACCCATATGTTAAACTGTGGATTCTGATTCACTATATCTGTGGTGGAAATGGAAATTCTCAGTAGGGCTGAACCAGATGGGGAATGAACCAGTTTGAAGCCCTGGTTCTGGTGGATGGTGCAAAGAGATGGACTGAAGAGAGAACACTTTAAAAAAATTTAGTTTTCATCTTTAGAGAATCTGACTATTAAATAATCTACCAAGGTTCAGCTCACATGGCACCTCTTCTGTTATATCTTTCTTATTTCACTCAGCAGGAATGAATGGCCTTTTGTTTGAAATGCATGCAGGCCTTTTGTTGTATCTGACACAGTAGTTCTCAAACTTCAATATGCATCAGAATAACCTGGAAAGCTTGTCAAAACATGATTGCTGGCTCTAGCCTTTCTGAACCAGAGGCCTGGATTGTAGCCTGATAATTTTAACAAGCTCTAAGTGATGCTGATGCTGCTGGTTCAGGGGTTATGTCTTTAGAATCACCATAATTTAGGCCATATTCTAGTCAATTTGCTATCTCCAAACTTTTTAGATGATAAGGTACTTAAGAACTTCCTTATTCATCTTTGAAAACATTTCAGTTACTATTAAGATGCTATGTACAAAGAAGTTATTGTATATTTAAGGAGTCCGGTGACACACTTCATTATATCTCCAGCTGCTCATGTTGCAGTCTGAATCTGCCAGTTGCTCTGTAGGAGGAAGAACGGCAATCCTTCCTGCTGATTTACAGCCTTGGAAACCTGGTGGATGGTTACCACGAATTGGAACCAACTTGATGGCAGAGCGTTTGTTTTATTTAATTTTCCATTTTTCTGTGGAGTTAGGATTCATCTCCACAGCTTAACATCTTACCGAATTCCCTCAGTTACCACTTAAATAAAGAAAAATGAAATGTATGATTAGCAAATGGAATGGAAGGCAGAATATATCTGAACTTCTTTGGGGTTGCCAATTTGCTGACATCTTCTACCTGTTTTATTTCTTATGCTGGACATAATAGACCATGATTATTTTCAAATATAAGAAAGCTTGAGACACATTATCCTAAAGAATTAAGACTAGTATTTTTCTTCCTCCTGCATGTGTTTCCACCTTATTTAACTGGCCTCAGAACAGAGATGAACCCTAGGGAAGAAAACATTAAAAGTATTTTTCTCAGCCTGATTTGTGTAGAAATGCTAACCAAACCAACTTATTCTGTAGTTGTTCTTATGCCAAGACAGTTTGCCATTTTAGATTCTGCCTTGTTACCAATTAAGCAGTTTTTTGATGGTGAAGTCCAGTACCTCATATGTTAAACAGTGGAACTAACCTCACTGGGGTTTAAGGCTGTGACCATTTAGATGCAGCTCACCAGTTTGTTCTTTTGAGGTGCTTCTGGGCAGGTGCAAACAGCAAGCCTTTTATTAGCTGTTAAGCATGTAACTGTTTATACTTCCTAGGCATCACTTTTGTCTAAAATGATTTAAAAACACCAGGTTCAAAATTATTGTTTTATCTATGACATTAGATTTTTGTGAATTAAAAAAATTGCCTGGAATTTGCTATAAAATATAAAGGGAAGGTCAGTCTTGGAGGACTTGTGCAGCAGTTCAGACCAGATCTCTGACTTCTCTCCTCTTTAGAATTATCTTTATGATTTTTGTAGCATCTCCAGATAAAGGCATAGAGTATTAGACAGATCTGGATGTAGTATTTAAATATAGAGAAAAAGAAAGGTGAATTTTATAATGGCATTACCTCAGGCATCCTGTGACATTGTAGAATATATCAAAGTCAAGCAATCCATTTGCTTTTGGGTAGTCACCTTCAGGCCACCCCGAAAAAGGGATGATGATACTCTCAGTCAGGGTCAGTAAGGCTTCTGTTATGATGAGATTCTTGAGTTTGTCATTAGAGGACAAATTCCACAGCAAACCTAGAAAAGTAGAGAGCTACTATCAGCCGATGTAGGGTGGGTGGAAACTTAATGACTATTCATAAGACAAGTAAAGTCCAACACCTCCAAGGCTTTGACTAATTAAAAAAAAAAGGCAGCAGGAGACAGTTCCTTTCCTGAGTGAACAAATCTATTTAGAGTTTATTAGTAGCAATGGGAGTTGATTTATAACAACAATTAAAATATTAGCATATATAACTTTGATACATTATGTAAGTTTAAATTAATGAGAAATGTGAGGGAAAGCCAGAAAAACTTAAATATTTATTGCTGTTTCTATCACAAAGCTGACCTCATGTGAATAATAAATCCTGGACTCATCAATCTCATCAATGGAGAAACTTGATCCTACTATACTGATTCCTTTGTAACTAAGATTTTAACGTTAAAAAAAAATCATGTGTCTCTTTACCCCTCAGATGTAGGAAGAAAATATCTCCCCTCCTCCTGCTCCTCACTCTCTATCTGTACAACTCACCTTGACATTCTGCCACCCAATACTAGCAGGAAGGACCTGCTGAATAATTTTCCTATGCTTGTCAACAGGAGGCTGATCAACATCACCAATTAATGTTTACTGACTCCTACCCACTGAATTTATGCCCTCCAGGAAACTATGCTCGCTCATTTATTTCTTCTTTCATAGTTTGATATTGAAGGAGAGACAAGAGTATTTTCTCTTCCAATTTGTCTGTTTAAGCATTCTTAAGACAAGAACCATCTTTGCCCACTGAATTTTTCCCCCTCTCAAATCCTTCACATCAAAGAAAATAGATCTCTACGCGAGATAATTAAGAACAGCGTACTGTACTTTCCAGGGTATTTGTATGATAGAGACTAAGGCTGAGAAATGAGAGAATAGACAAAGGGTGTGTGTGTGTGTGTGTGTGTGTGTGTGTGTAAAAGAATTTAATTGTAATTTTAATGAAAATTTATAGACTTTGGATTTCCATTCATTCATTCTTGCACATTTCCCCCCCTATCCAATCTCCCCCCACTTAGTTTTTATTTGAAAAGTTAAAAAAAAATGTCACCCCTTTCATTATTATACAATCCCCACCCCACCCCACCAGTTCACTCCTCCATGAAGCTTTCAATCTAGACTCTTGTCATGAAAATAATACCAAATCATATATTCCTTTCAAACAGTTATATTAGATTTTTTTAAAAAAATTTTGCAAATTTGGTATTTGGTGCTAAGATATTTTTTATTCAGTGGAAGAAAGGCTAAACCTATTGTTTGTTTATACAGTGATTCCTGCAAGTGTCACATTGTCCTACTATCTTTTATACTTTGGTAAATCACTTTCACTCACTACCATCCAAGAAAGAGGAGAGAGGGGACAGAAAGAGAAGAGAGGCTGGGAGCTCTGGTAGCCTAGTGGCAGAAAGCTATGCTGCAATCCCAAAGGCACATGGTTCAAGGCCAGCAGCTGCTCCACGTAGACAACTAGAACAACATTTCTTAAATTCCTCCCCATATCTGTGTGAAGGGACAAAGTAGCACAGTTAGACAAGCATTCTACTTTATAATAGAACAGCTGGTGGCTTGGCTGAATTATTTAGTATTATCACCTAAATGGATTTTAATGACTGAAATAACATTCTAAACAGTTAAAATTTGTAATTATTTAAAAACCAGACAACATTGTAATTATTCAACAAGACTATATTTGATCCAGTCAGTTAAGACAAACTAGACCTAATTGTATTTTTTCGCTTTAAACAATTTGTCTGAGCTACATCTAAAGAACTAATTTCTGAACTATAACAGAATTTCCATTGCAGCCTAGCTTCCTGGAGCCACAATGACCCCAGATATAGTGTCTTGTGAAGGCTAGAATTCTGGCTTATGTGAAGGTCTTTTCTTGATCAAACTAGTGATTGAGGTTAGTCATGGCAATGTCCCTAAGCCACAGGGTTGCAACACAATGACTTCATTCCTCCCACTTCATCATAAAAGGCCCTGGAAAGGAGAGAGACAGAATAAAACCCCTAAGGTGATTGAAAAAAATTTAAAGGCAGGTCTGAGGTTGAGTTTTGTTACTAAGCTAAAAAAAAAAAAAAAGTTGAAAAGACAGAAAAGAAAAAAGCTTCTTGACTTCTAAATAAGCAAACAAATTAATAGCCTCTGCCTGCCAGAGGCTTAAAAATGTGAAGTATAATAATGCTTCCTCCTTTTAAAAAAGGACCACACAGGGTACTCAAAGGAAAAATACACCTTACCATAAAAGCCAGACAGGATTAATTTGAACAAAGGGAGTGGAATTTTCCTTCAGCCATCAGTATCCTTTATAGCTTAGCATGCTACCTTATTTTACATAAGTATATGTTTTGGGGAGTTTTATGATAATTTCTGAGATATTACATGGAAGTGCCATACTTGTCAAATTTCTCGATGGTCTGAAGCTGAGAAAGGACTAAAACATTCAAGGGAGAATTAGGATTAAATATACTTAAACACAAAAACATATACACCCTCTCAAACACATACACAATCAATAAATGACCAATTACTCGAACATACTGCTCAAAAGATTCATTAGAAGAGTTCTGAGCCAGAGGAGGGAAAGCAAAACAGAATTTCAAAGTCTCGGGACTTCTAGACTCTCTGGACCCGGCATGGCTAGAAGAGCCCCTAAAACTACTGCCTGAGAGAGTCTTTCAGCCTTCATCTAAAAACTAGCTCCTGATATTTTCTGAAGACCAAACAACAATTTAGCTTAACTGGTAAGAAAAAAAGTCTGCTCTGAGCACTGTACTCTTTTAAGATTTATCCACATGGGCTCAAACTGATAATAATAACTGAAAAGATTAGACAGGAAACTTAGGGAGGCAATGAATTTATGATACTGGGGAAGGAATAAATCAGAAATGGAAGGTAAAGATGGCTACACAACTCAAAGATTATGATTAATGTCATGGGATTGTACATGTGTAAACTGTTGAATTGTATGTTCTACTGTGTATATTCTCAGTAACAATAAACACAAAGCAATAAAAATTATTAAAAACTGAGAAGCTGTGTAACAATATGAGAGATAAAAATTTAATGTCCTTAATAAATAGAATTCTTTCAGACTATTAGGGAGCTCTGGTTGGCCTAGCGGTAAAGAATTATGCTGCCAACCCAAGGCAAGTGGTTCAAATCCACTAGCTGCTTCACATTCACAAGTTGTTCTGTGATAGAATGATGGGAAATTGTCTCTTGTCCAATTTACAGCCTCTGAAAACTTGCTAAAGAGTCACCTTTAAGTTGGTTCTGACTCGAAGGCACAAAGGGGCAACAATAATAATAATAACAACACACTATTGAAAATTAAATGCCAAGAGACATTCTGGGAAATTAATAAATGCAAAATCTAAAGCTAATTAGGGGTTAGGTGGATGATGAATGAGGGCGACGAATTAATGCCTTTCAAATGTGGTGCTGGAGAAGAGTACTGCATATCCCAGGAACTGCCAAAAGAACAAACAGATTTGTCTTGGAGAAGGTTCAGCCAGAATGATCATCAGAGGCAAAGATGATAAAGCTTTGTCTCACAAGGTTTGGACATGTTTCTAGGAGGGGTTTTGAAGAATGACATCATGCTTGGAAGGGAAAAGGATGGTGAAAGAGAGGAAGACCTTCAACAAGATGGACTGACACAGTGATTGCATCAAAGAGCTCAAGTTTGCAGAAGATTGGAGGATGGCATAGATAAGACAGGGTTCCTATATGTTGTTTATAAGATCACTATGAGTCATACTCAATTCAGCGTCACGTAATAACAACAATAATACATAGGACTAGATGTTTCCTAACATTTAAAGAAATTCAGCTTTAAACAACTAGACATAAATTTCTCTGACTCCACAGGGCAAAACTGGGGCCATTAAGCAGAAACTCTAATAAGATATGGGCTCACTGAAAGTTTAAACTTCTAAAAGAACTATGAGAAAACAGGAAGATTTGCTTGTTAGCGCTAGCACTGGAGGTGTTAATAGTTAGCCCATCTCACTGATATGGCAATAAGGGGTTTTATGCTAAAGTGAAGACTCTGATTACATTATTGTTGTTGTTAGGTGCCACTGAGTCTGTTCCAACTCATAGCAATTCCACGTAGCCAACAGAACAACAACTCTGCCCATCCTGCTTCTCCCTCACAAGTGCAGCTGTTAAGTCTTACAATTATTACGTCAAACAATCCATCGTGTTCCTTTTTTTCACTGACCCTCTATTTTAGGAGGCATATTGTCTTTCTCCAGGGACTGTCTTCTGAAAACATGCCCAAAGTATGTGACATGAAATCTCATTGTCCTTGCTTCTATAGAGCTTACTGGCTTCACTTTGTTCTCAACAGAGTAGTTGTTTTGTGTTTTTTGGATGTGTGTGTGTGTGTGTGTGTGTGTGTGTGTGTGTGTGTGTGTGTTTGGCAGTTCATGGTATATTTAGTATCCTTCATTAACACCACAATTTAAAGGCATCTTTGGTCTTCCTGATGAACTGCTGAACTGCCCAGCTTTCATAATTCCAAACGAGCAAGTGGCAATTCATAATCACACATTCCTGGCCCCTCCCCAAACTTACATTTTCAAAACAAATTCCCATTTCTGGCTCTGGAAAACTTCTGGAGTAGGCAACCGTTCATTTCCTTTCAGTGATCAGATTCTAGAACCTCTGATATAATGTTTATACACAGGGCTCAGTTTCTGGGTTTTATTTGTCTCATCTTTAATTTCTGGCCAATTTGCTCAATGTCTACATTTGCTATTAGTTCTTTGTTACAGCAGATCTGCCTGAATTATTTCTTTTTATTTTGCCACTATGTACTAATTCTAATAAAAAGGAAGGAAAACAGATTCTGGCCAGGAACCTACTGTGAATAATTTGCAAGTTTATAAGACAAGATGACATTTGCATTTCTAGAAATTTGTTGTCAACTTATATTTGCAAAAAAATTGCCTTAAAAGAAAAGTGGACTTACTGATATTAAAACCCATGTCTTATTAATATTGTCTTATAGCACTGGAAATTCATTTATTTAGAACAAGTTAAATAACACCTTTACAGGAAATGTGAAAATTTTCTGACTAAATGAATTTATCTTGATTACAGAAGAGAGAAAGGAGAACAAAGGAGAGAAAGCACAAGAGAGAGAATGACTGAACAAATAACTTGTTTTTCCAAGGTTCACAGCAGAAATTCGTTTTCTTTCTAAAACAATTTCCTCTGTATTAATATACTCATCTTTTCACCTAGTTTTTGTCAACCTTACTTGGAATATCAGATTACTGCCAAGGTTAGTTAATTTGAGTGATACATAAACCCAGGCTGCCTTGTTTACACATTATGAGTGCAAAATTACATAATCACTCAAAGAACATATAAAATGAATATTTTTACTACTAATTTTGATTATTTTATGAAAATATATTAGTCCAGTGAAATCTTTCCATAAAATATGCAGAGTTCAATATGTACTTTTAATAAATTCCATTGACAATCTTGCCCTTTGTTATACATGAGGCATAAGAGGGACAAGAAGCCCTACTTCATCAGCCTTATTGTGACTTGTCTGTTTTACAGGCAGTGACCTCTCTCTCCAACAATGCTCACTAATTAGTGACCTTAGAGATGAACTTCTGAGGTAAGGACGTGTTGTTCTCGTTTTAATGAAAAGTTGAAAAGTGTATAAACAACCACAGTCTGTTCAGACAGAAGACGGAACAACTGTACTGAGGAGGGTAAATCTTTGATCCTGAAGTCTTTCATCGGAAAGTGAAGAGCTTCCTTCCTAAAGTGTTACAAAAAATGCCAGAAAGGTCTGTGAATTTCCCATCAATTTTAGTGAGCAAACCTCTGATGCTAAAACTTCTTAAAATATTTTTAGAATAAAGAAGGTTCATTTTTCTTAGAAAAAAATCAGGTCCTTATTGTAAAACACACCAGAGCCTCTTAATTATTTTTATGTTCAATACCCCAAGGCCACAAGGTCCTTTATTTTATTAGGTCAGAAATCCAAAGTTATTTAAAAAATGTATGTGGTCACCACAGCTATTAATGTAATAAATATAGTGGCATGAATTTAAGTGACAGCCTAATATTAAGGAGTCTAAGTCTCTTCTTTCAAAATTCTGCTAAGGTAATGAGATTAAGAGTAAAATGTAAAAGGATGGTATAAAAAAATATTACAGTGAAAAAGTGATATTTGAAACTACTACTGAAGGATGCTGCAGAAGGTCAAGGACTGTACGTAGTCTTCAATATGGATTGAAGCTCAACATCAAGAAAACAAAGATTCTCACCCATGGGCCAATTGGCAGCACCATGATGAGGGGAGAAGAGACTGAAGTTCTTAACAATTACAGCTTGCTCGGTTCCACAATCAACACTCTTGGCACCAAGTCAGGAGATAAAAAGATGAAGTCTGCTGTCAGCGACCTCTTCAGAGGGCTAAAGAACAAGATGTCAATGTAGAGACTAAGGAGTGTCTGATCCAGGCCATAGTCTTCTCATTTACTTGCTATGCATCAGAGAGCTGGACAATGAATAGGGGTAGCAGAAGAAGTATTGATGCCTTTGAGTTGTGGTGCCGGAGAAGAATACTGAACATACCATACACTTCCAAGAGAACAAAATGATCTGTCCTGGAAAGGGTGAAACCAAGTTGGAGGCAACGATTTTGAAGCTCCACCTCACATACTTTGGGCATGTTGCCAGGAAGGACCAGTCCATGGAGAAGGACAGCATGCTTGGAAAAATGGAGGGTCAGCACAGGAGAGGAAGACCCAGGATGACATAGTGACTGGGGTATTAGGGACAGTGAGTGTGGCTCAGGATAGGGCAGGCTTCAGAGCTGTACGTAGGGATCATACAATTTGGGTTTGCTCGGCCATGAGTTGCAAATGACTCAACGGCACATAACAACAACAATGGGGAGAATAGTGAGATAATAATTTCATTTTAGAAAACAATCAATCACTAGGAGGAGAGTATAAGGTTAATTAAGAATTGACACCACTGAACCACAGAGAAAAGTGAAAAAAGACGAATGCAAGAGCAGAACAGAGAAGAGGCTTGACCCAAGGCAGTGGGAGAGAGAGAAGCAGCAAAGAGAAACAGGGCAGAGTCCTCCAGGCAGAGATTCTTGAAGAAGAGCTCTTTCCCAGAGAAGTGTGAAAAAATGAGTCATCACCTGCTCCTAAAGGAGGAGGCTGGAGCAAGGAGGCAACAGCAAAACATCCATACAAAACTAGATTCCAATCTAGCCTTCATGCTTTCTTACTTGCACAACTTTGGGACATTTACTTAACCTCTCTGAGTCTCATACTGCTCATACATAGATCATCAACAGTGCTCTCATGCTTCCAAGGCTAGCAGGAGGAAAAGAGAAAAGAAAATAGAAAGTTCTAGTTTCATGACTAGCATAAAACAGGGGTTTAAAAGAGGTCTAAAAAATAAATAAAAGGAAAATATTAATATATGTGGGGTTATTGTTTTGTTTTGTTTGTGTTTCTCCCAAAAAGAGGATGAAACAGAGATATTAGGTCAACAATTTATTTCTGAGGTCCAGGAAGCACTTACTTATCTTTTCAATGAATATAAATAAAAAGAGTAATTTGGAAGGATATATATCAATCAGATGTTCAAATGTTAATTCAATACACCTAACTTTAAATGTCCATCCTCTGCTGAACACTAGAAATCTTGAGTACTGTACAAATAACTTCTGTTTATCAGCTTGGTAGCTTATATTAAAGATGCCTTGGAGAGTGTCTATGGCATCAGTGTTACAGAAGGTTCTCTGACCTTAATTTCCTATGCAAAATAAAAAAAAAGGAAGTGTGAGTGTGTGAATTATTCCTATAAAAAACATATATACACACCTTCTCAGACTTCCTAGCTGCCAAGCACCTTAATTCTCAAGCACTCTGTTAGCATAATTTCCTCTAAATGATTAAGAGTTTCTTTATCTTGCTGGTGATGTGCACTTTGCTGGGATAACTATGATTCTTTACAATATCAGTGTAAAGTCTATGTCTCCTTTTTTTTATTAACTATGATTTTGGGGAAAGTTTACAAAGAAATTTAGTTTTTCATTCACCTTTTTATACACAAATGGTTTTATAATATTAATTATAATACAATTCCAATTCACTTTTCCCACTTTTCTGGAATTCTCATTTCCATTAATCTTTCAATTCGACTATTTCCTGCCTTCTAGGCATTATCCTTGGCCAAATGCTACCTTTTGGATCTTATATGGTTCACATTCTAAAGGAGTGAGTCTTTCCTGGTGTTACTGGTCACTTTATAGGCTTATCTATTGCTTGACTGGAAGCTGAGTCACCAGAGTCAGTTTAGTTCCAGACTCAAAGGGTGAATAGGGCCATAATCTCTGGGCTCTGGCTTCCACTATTTAAAGGTCTAGAAGGAACACATCTCCTTCACAAAGTTTTCTCTGGCTGCATAATAGGGTGGTTTTGTTTGATTCCAACTTGTAAGCCATAATTAGTCATAACAATTTTTAACCTTTTTGGGGAGGAAAGAAAATAGCAAGCCTCTCTAGACTGGAATTTTCTGAAGGACAGGGCCTATGTTCTCAGTACCTGGCACCTGATAGATCCTTTATAAATGCTGGTTCTTTGGTAGAATGAATGGTTACATAAGATTACTCTACTTTTCAGGCTTTTAAGTACAAGTAACTCATATGAAAGGACTGATCTCAAGGTGTATAATCTGCATGCTGTCAAGAAAGCAGTATCCAGCAAGGTTTTATTCAGTTGTATGTAGGGTTGTTATGAGTAAGTACCCCTAGCAACAACAATGTATTAGGGAATTGTGTGACTCCCCATTTAACTTCCCTTGTTGAGATACAGTAAACTGACTGCTGTGTAAATAATAAAAACAAGTGGGTGTGGTTTGTGTTATTCCTGAGAATGTTTTGGACACCTGTGACATTACTGAAACTCCACACATTCTGAAACTACAAAGCTGTCTTTAAGAAATATATGCAAAATTTTCACACAGTGAATCTTGTCATGAAATTGTTTTCAAGACATTTAGTCAAAGGTGTATATCGCTTCTAATTTAAAATAGTATGCAAAATGTTGAACTGTCTTCTTTTTTGGATAAAAGGAATTCCAACTTGGCTGGAATCTGAGGTCTAAGCCAGCTGGTTACAACGTCCCTTTAAAACCATTTCTTGGATAACAATGAGCCTAGCAATCATTTGTTCCAGGAAATGTAAGAAAAACAGAGGATATAACACATCCGGCTGGAGTGTACTATGCTTGGCAAATGATACCTGTTATTTGCTTTTTGGTCTCCAGGTCTCTGGTCTGCTTCAGCACCTGGAGAAGCCGAGGTACTCCATTGAGTTCAGCCACCTCCAACTTGTTGTCATTGTCCTCAAATACCAAGTTTCTTAATGCTCCACACGCAGCTCGTGAGACATCTTCATTCTGAACTTTGAGGAGCTGCAGAAGTTTGGGTATGCCACGGAGCTGATTAACCTGCACAAGAAGCAGACAGATGCATATGGTTTGTCTTTGTTCATTTTGATGTGGCACCAGGACATTCAGTACAATATGAACAGATGAAGTTCACAGATGTTGATTATAACCCTCAAACAAATAATAACTATATATGTGACTCAACCTGGGATTTAAATTGTAAATCACACGCCTGCTATGAAACAACATCTGCTATCCAAGAACTAACAATAAATTTGGGAAGTCAAGACTGAAAACTATGATATGATTGAAAGAGAAAGTTAAGTGGCACAGAGTGAGAATATAAGCCTTCAACACAGTAAAAATGAAGACAATGGAGGAGTCAGTAAAGTCCTATGGGAAAAATAAGTTACATGAGTTTTGTTTCAGGACAAAACAGAAAACCAAATATAAAAGAAATTAAAATGACCTTCCTTAACAGAATAAATAGAAATTAAATTCATGGCAGCCCAAATTAATGTTAACCAAGTAAACCCTAACTACAAGTTAACCCTAACTATAGTGTTAAATACAACCTGATTTTAGAATTGCCGTATTTTACTTTTTAATAGTACTATTTAAAAATATGTATTATTCCTATACAAATATACAAGAAAGATAAAACTATTAGAAAAAAGGGATAGAATTAGGAACAGTAAGTAAAAAGACAGGGAACTATCAGAAATTCAAGCTATATTCAAAAGAGGCCATGGCACTAGGGATATCACTGATGATGTCAGATGAACCTCGGTGTTCAGATGGCTATTAAGGCACAGACTTCCAGTCCTGTGTTTTCCTTTGTCAAGATCTGGATGGAGACCAGCAAGGCAGGAGTGAGAATAAAGGGTATAAAATAATCTTAAAGATAAAACAGTAATTATATTAATAACAGTAACAAGAAACAAAAATAAGAACTTCTTCTCTTCCCATATCTGCTATCTCCACCGTCATAGTTGTTACTAAGGTAAGGAACCTAGTGGTGTAGAGCATTAAGTGTTGGGCTGCCAACTCAAAGGTCACTTGTTCGAATTCACAAGCAGCTCTGCGGGAGAAGGATGAGGCAGTGTGCTCCCATTCTGATGGAGGGTTGCCATACATTGGAATCAACTTGGTATCAGTGGTTTGGTTTCATGAGGAGGTATAAGGGTGGCAGGCACCCTGTGGCAATCTGACTCCACCGGCCGACCTGTAGAAGAAGGATGTGCAATCTGTTCTGTAATTCATAACATAAAAAAAAGTGCTGAAGGGTTGGCAACGAGTCAGCTCTGACTTGATGGCAATGAGTGAAGCACTTAAAAAAGATTTTTATATAAATATCACCTACTGAAAATCTTACAGGAACCTTAAAAGGAAGTACTCCTGATAGTTTATGGTTTCACTATTAGTAATGAGAACACTTCTATTTGCTGCCTTTCTCCAGATGAGATATTTGCAGAACAGGAGACAGATGGGAGAAGACAGCAATTCTGAGGACTCATGTCTAAAACCATTCTAATATAATAGTATGACAAAGCTAATGATTTCTCAGGTATCAATTAAAGCTGGTCAGTAGATATATATTTTATCCCTGCATTAATTCCCCTTACTATACATACTCAGGAAGCACTGGTGGCCTAGTGGTAAGAAACTGCACTGCAATCCTGAAGGCATGCAGTTCAAATCCACCAGCTGTTCCATGGGAGGATGGGTACTATCCTCTTGTGCAATAAATAGTCTCTAAAAACCCAGGGGAAGGTCAGCTATGGGTTGGTTCTGACTCCATAGTACTCAACAAAAATGCATCCTTACAAGCAAAAAAAAGCAAAAGCAAGCACACTTTGTTTTAAAATAGCCTGTAGTTCATATGTAGGTCATATGTTTTAAGATGATCAAACTCAAACTCTATAAATATCATAAATGCCAGTAAACACATCACAGTAGGCACCATACCCATCAGTTGGAAAACTGTTTTCATAAAGAAACTTTGGTAGCATAAGAAATATTTCATTGTTTGACTTATAGTTTACAAATGACTCTCTTCAAATGTTGAAATGATATTAAACAGCTTATTCATAATTACATTTCACGGAATGCAGAGCCTCTTCTGCTCTGACCAGGGAGCATGGATGGAGAGGTTTCTGCTGAGCATATCTAACTGGCTGGTTTCCTTCCCATCACCTTTATTCTCTTGGCTTTCAACACTCACTCTAGCCCTGAAATAGTGAGCTGTAGACATACCAGCCTTCAGAAAAAGGAAATATCAATACTTATCATAGAACTGATTTCCCAGGGTCTGGCATCCATCCCAAGTTTAAAAATAGATTTTAAACTATTTTATCAAGGAAATTTATATTAATCTCATTAAATACAAACATTGTAGCATTCTCCTTATTGCATTCAGGACTACCAGTGAGGAATGAACCAATTGACTTGGTCAATTAGGACCAAAGTCAAATTCTCTCACCCTTTGAATACAGGGAATCAGATGGAACAAGAGAGTTCTGAAGTTTCTCTGTTCTACTGAATTCTCTGAGGTTTTTGGGTTTTTTTTTTCTCCATTTGGAGAAAGAAAAAAAAAAAAGAAAAGGAATAAACTAACACGAGCTTCTTATAACTTCAAAAAAAGCTTTCATTTGAGACAGTTTTCAAGTATATGAAAGGACAGAACAAGTCAGCCTCTCAGTTTTACTTTGAATCTATTCTGATTCTGTTCCCTGCCAACCATGAAATAATGAAATGAGGATCTCTAGAGGCAAATAAACAAATGCCAGGGAACAGACAGACTCTTGGGGTGAAGGCTCTTCCGAGAACCCACTTCTTTCCTGTGTTGGCTGCTCTCTTCTCTGGCAAAGCCCTTCCCATCCCACAGGACTTGGCTCAAACGTCACCTTTTCTTGTAAAATGGCACTTGCTTTCTTTCCTTCTCTCTCATTAGACTTAAATCTCTCCTGTAAGTTAGTATAACCTTTCATGAAGGAAATTGGTAGCATGTGTCAAGAATCTTGAAGAAAAATGCACTTCTCTCAGAAATGTAGACTAACATGGGTAGACTGTTTTGTTTATGAGTGAACAATAAAAAACAAAGGTGGGAAGATTGGCTTAATAATTTTCAAATATTCATATGGTGAAGTATCCACGGGAGAAGCAAAGCAGGGTGTGAACTGGCAGATATTTTACTAGTCATACAGTCCCCTTTTCAGTTAAATATAGATTTTCACGTAACCTTAGCAATCATGTGCTTGGCCTACAGGAGTTACTCACACAGTAGCTGCTACTATCACCATAAATACTGTGCAAACAGTAAGTTAGACTGCTCCTTGGAGGCAAGGATGGCGAAGCTTCATCTCTCATGCTTCGGACATGTTGCTAGGAGAGGCTATTCCTCTGATGGTTCAAATCCACCAGCAACTCCACCAGAGAAAGATATGCAATCTTTTCCCATGTGATTTACACCCACAAAATCTACTGGAGCGTCAATTGTGAGTTAGCTGACTCCACGGCAACGGGTGATGGATTGAAAAATGGTAGTATTTCAGAGGGAAAGCAGTTTTTACAGAGTTAAATGCTAAGATTCATTAGAAAGTAAACTAGAGACTGGGATATTGCCAGTGATATTAACATATTATAATATAAACTCAGACCTTAATGTCCTAATTACAATTGTATTTCATATAGAAATTTAAAAACTATACCATCATCCTTAATATTAGCATCATTTTATTAATGTCTTTGGTTAAAATGTCATGTTTCTTAGATTTTTCTATCAAGCAGACTTTTTTTATGTTTGAAAACAGTTCTGATGTTTCATTATTCTCAAATCCAGTCTTTGTTCTAGCTTTATTTCTGAGAAAGAGCTAAGAAGGCAAGCACAGCTTTAATCCTTCTGTATCTGTCATCAAATTAATAATTTAAGAGAAAGTGGAAAAAATTAAGCCGAACTAGGGCAGGACCAAAATAATGCTGAAAAAACAAACCCAAAATTTGAGCAATTCCAAGTTACAAAAAGAAAGCACACCTAGCAACATTCAGTTTAAAAACTGGAATAAGAAAAAAAAAAAGAATAAAAATTTACCTGCTATTCATAAAAGAATCAATTGTCCGTGTGTGTGTGTGTGAGAGAGAGCACTTTAAGTGGTTACTTATGTACATAAAGAAGCTCAGTTACTAGTTAATTATATTAAAACAAATCTACCCTTTCTTATAGAAAAAAATAGGCAAAAGATCAATGAAAAATACTTAATCATATAACTTTATTTAGTTTTTAAGGGTATTTGAAAAATAATTTTATTCTGGTTCTAAGTGAAAAGAAGTGGGAATGACAGTAACAAACAAGATTTCTCCACAACATGTTGTGATGTGACTGTAGCAGTCTTGCATTTGAAACTCAAGAAGGAAACAACTGCCTTCCAAAACAGCTAAATATGCAGGTCTCCAAAATGAAAGGTGTTTTTAACTGCCACATTCACTCCAAAGCCTGTTCATCTCCTCTACCATCCCAAAGATTAGCACATGGTCTACTTAGCTAAGTATGAGTGACAAACACGCGGCACCACTGACATCACAGGACAGTCTCCTATAAAACTGGACTTCTGCCACTGAGCTCCAGCTTTGTTCTCTCACAGATCATCATCCTCATCCAGGAGAGCAGTTGTCTGCACAACCTCCCAATCATGCAAAGCTGGGTCCATGACAACTTCTGGTGGGGCAAGAGCAGGCATGGCAACAAACTACAGGTTAGGGTCTCCAGTTAGTTTTCTAGCAACCCAAAGGAAAGACTTTTCAAAGTTGTAGTTATTTTTGGCAGAAATATCATAGTCCTGAAGAGTCCCCTTTTGGTGTAAAATGATTGATTTTGCCTTAATTTTCCTGTCCTTCCTGTACCAGCAGCCAGGAAATTAAAAGACAAATTACAATGGGGAAAGTCTGCTCTGTGAGACCTCTCCAAAGTACTGAAGAGCAATGATGTTAGTCTGGAGAGTAAGGTGCACCTGATCCAGGCCATAGTTTTTGCAATCACTTTCTACGCATCAGAAAACTGGACAATGACTAGGGAGGATAGAAGAAGAATTGGTGACTTTGAGCTGTGATACTGGAGAAGAGTATTAAATATACGATGGACTGCTAAGAGAACAAACAGGATTGTTCTGGAAAGGGTGAAACCAAGTTGTTCCCTGGAGGCAAGAATTCTGGAGCTTCGTCCAACATACTTTGGACATGTTCCAAGTGGGGACTAGTCCTTGGAGAGGGATGTCATGCTTGGGAGGATGGAGGTACACTGTAGGAGAGGAAGACCCTGAATGAGATGGATTGATTGAGTTACTGGGGTAATGGGGTAGGTATGTCAGACACAGTGAGACTGGCACAGGATAGAACAGGGCTGTTGAATTTATGGTTGCTATGAGTTACAGGTAACTCGATGGCAACTAACAACAACAACAACAACAGTGGGGACTAACTAGAACTAGACCAAATACTACTCCATTCTCATCTAAGTTACCTTACAAAGGTAGATCTCAAAAGTTCAAACTGTTTCCAAGTAACCTAACCACACATTTTCAGATCTATAAACCTAGAAAATATACCACAAGCAAAATAATCATGAAATATGAAATATTTAAGGATTAAACCTGACATACCTCCCCCTAAAAAAGACTTCTTTTGTTAAAATGTCACAATATTGGTGAGAAAAGTTACAAATCCTATATAAATGGTGTTTCATCTAAGGAAAATGGAGCTCTGCTGGTCTAGTGGATTAGGAAGCTGTGGTGCCATCTGAGAGGCAGGAAGTTCACATCCACCAGATGCTCCATGAAGGAAAGATGGACAATCTTCTCCCATGTGATTTACAGCCTCTGAGAATGTTCCAACTCCACAGCAAGAACTGAGATTTTGAAATATGTCTATCGGGAACTCTGGTGGCACAGTCTTCAGGGACCTGCACTGCTAGCTGCACTTCTCTGGTGCTGTAAATCTACCAAACATTCCACTGGAGAAAGATGAGCAGTCTCCTCCTGTGTAAATTACAACCTCAGAAACCCACTGCAGGGTCAGCTCTGACTTGGTTCCAACTTGATGGTAATGAAAGAGACCCACACATATATGTTCAATTGCTTCCCAACAAAGTTGTAATGGGAAATAAATGAAACAAGGGAAATATTAGAGTAAGTCACATCTGAACAACTGCATACACATATTACAGAAAGAATTTTGACCCGTATCCCACAATACACACAAAATTTTAACCCCTATATGAATTATGGACCTAACTGTAAAATCTAAACTTATAAATACTTCTAGAATAAATGAGAGGAGATTATCTTTGCAATCTTGGAGTAGGTAAATATATTGACATGCCAGCAAAAGCATGTTCCATATATGAAAATAATGATAAATTACACTTCATTAAAATCTTTTGTTCTTCAAAAGGCAACTAACATGATGGAAAAAAACCAGGATAACTGGGATAAAGGAACAATTCATAGCTCTGAAAAAGGCCTTGTATTCAGGACATATAGAGAAAACCTAAGATTCAATAATAAGAAAACACAAATCCAATTGAAAAATAAGCTAAGGATTTGAACAAATACTTCACTAAAAAAGACATATGGCAAAAATGTACATGGAAAAAAAGCACATTCAACACATTTCAGGAAATAAAAGTAATAACCCCACAAGAATACACTTTTATATCATATATATTAAAGTCTAAAAATTAAGAATAGAAAATCAAAACAAAAGAATAATTGCAATTAAGAAGACTGATTTTTGCAATTAAGAAGACTGATTGTGTCAAGTGTTAGTGAGGATATGGAGAAAATGAAACTCCTACACATTCCTGTTAGGAATTCCTGGCCACTTTTGAAAATGGTTTGGCAGTTTCTTTGTAGAAGCAATCTATAACTTACTATATCATTGAGGCAGGATGCTCTTAATCATTCACCCAATGGTTATGAAAGCGCATGTACATACAAGGCCTTCAACACAAACATCTATAGCAGCTTCAGTCACAATACTCTAAACCTAGAAACAACTTAAATGTCCATCAACAGAGAAAGAACTTTTTAAAACTGTATATACACAATGTATACAATGGAGTACTACTTAAAGGGAAAAAAATCCCCAACATTTTAATATACACAAAGATAATTTTCAAAATAATTATTTCAAGTAAAGGAAATCAAACCAAAAAGTATATTCTATATAATCCCATTTATAAACAATTTCAGAAAATTAAAATTTATTTATTGCGACAGAAAGGGGATCATTGGCAGCCAATGGAGAGAGGATTGGCTGGGAGGGGCAGAATATATAGATTATTCATAAGTGAAACAAAACTGTGTGAGGTAATGGGTGTTGTGAATCTGGTAGTGGCTTTATAGGTAAAACAATGTTGCCAAATTATCAATTAGTGAATTATCAAAACTGGTTATATTCATTTAGATAGTAGACAAT